AGCGTCTCCGACGCTCTGATACCAACTGAGACAGATGAGGAAATAGTGTTTGTAGCTCTATCTAGAAGGCAACATCTGAAGAGTCCTTCAACCGCAGTCCCATTTGAATCTCGATACAATGTGGCCATTGGTATGAAATTCCAAAGTGTTAATGAGCTGATCCATCCAAAGTGACCGGTCGAAAGGATCATAGAGTCATTAAGATACCAAAAAAGACGAGAGTATCGACTTAATGTTGCTGTTTTATACAGACAAGCAAGAGCATTGTCTTGTCCAACATGCTTGCTGATATCAGTTACACTGACTCTCCCGCTGGCATCTGATGGGATGCTTTGATGATTAAACGACAGACTTAAACTATAATCTGCAGAGAAAATCAAAGTCTTAGATCATACATAGATTTTACTACACCCATTAGCTAAATCAAAGGCCTGCACTCCAAAACCTCTGGGAGCCACGTGTGCACTTAAACACATGTATGTTCAAAATCGCTATAGGTGGCAATTCGCATTTATTATCACGCAGAGTAGAAGAAACCTACTACTAGTTAATTAGGTTTCTGCTACTCTGCGTGAAATATAGTAGCGATTTGGTTGAGTCAACAGTCTACAGCTACTGCTAGCTATTTGACCACTCACTTTGTTGATGAGAATAAGGGAAGAGAATAAACAAAGAGCAGATACTTAGGAGAATAGTGACCATCATTGTAGTCCAGACCTGTCTCGTGTCCCAACTGGGCGCAAACTTCACGCGGACGCGGTTTTAGCTGTAGCTAGGTAAATAGCGCATGCGCGTAAAACGCTCCGCAAAATAGCATTGCAGTGCCTCTAGCTCCAACTACATGCCTTTGCGGACAAAAATAGGAGAAGTCGTGAAAACAACATCGAATGGCGGCTGGTAAGCGTGTTTTGCTTCCCGCGTACGGACTCGGAGACAGACCAAGGGAGGCACTCAATTCGCAATCCTTTGAGACTGACTGGGTTTTGTTTCGACGAGCTATGCTACAGGGTCTCTGCTATGATTATAATTTTTGTACCACTGACAGAAATAGCTTCTACCCTTTCATGACTATATACACGTTCGTAGGCGTCAAAGGGTAAACTTACACATGCATGCGCATAATCTAGCGCAGCAGACAACCTCTCTCTGGCGTAGCCAGCGGGCGCGGAAGAAGGAAGGCTACGCCCGACTAGATGCATCACGGGTGAAGACAATAAACTGGCTATGTTATCCTATCGTAGTTGTAAGCGCGCTATACAATAGGATAGAACGAGGGATAGAGCAATGCCACCGTCATTCGCTGATCTGGTAGCATAGTGTTGCAACGCCATAGGTCTTGCTGGGGGGTTTCCCTCGAGCGCATTGGTGTAAGTATAGCAGGGTAATTGGTCGGTACTTGTGTACATGGCACCTTAGAAACCGACTACAACTTCGATGTATGTGCTATTCTACACACCCTAGCTATGCATCCAGCAATGCAGGGTATATACAGTATCGATGTTAGCTCGTCTGGCGTCGCCCTGGGCATGCGCAAAGAGAGTCCATAGGTACGCGTAGTTTCGATGAGCAGTCTGCGTTGACCGTAGAGGATTATGCAGCACTGGCGGATCGTTCTCTTTGGCCTGTACATAGTACATCAAGTGCCACTTTACTGCGAAGGTGAGTGCGGGGGTGGTTTCAGTTTCACTAATGTGTACACGCACGTAGCTAGCAACTTGAAATTTGTTTTGTAGCTTGGGTTTAGTGCAAGAGATTGCCTGAAACAGGCTGCTGAGAAACACAGTGATTGCTATTGGTGGGGTTGAGTTTGAGGTGATATTCTACTATCCTAATGTGTTATATTCCGCAGTCCAAAGTGTAATTATACTTAGGTGGCAGCTATAACACTAGAACCATCGACTATGCACTCACAATGACTGGGACATGTAACTTCAGATACACATGTGTCTGTCTCACCTCCCAACTTAAATGTCTCTTCCCACCAGTGACACCACGCATAACACATTATATAGTTCAAGCATAAATGTATGGCTATAATATGGTATATAGGGCCTATAGTGACTATATAACTCTCCTCTGGCTCTGATGGGGCTTATCTAAGCAACACTGGTCAGTTTATGTTAACAGATTGAGATTGACTTTTTTTGGTATATTATAGCGGTTTCTTGGGTGTGCTGCTGCATGCCTTGTTTTTGTATTTTGACTACAATTTTCATTAAGTTTGCTCCTGTTAGCATAAATAAGAATTCGAAGTTTTAACAAAGTGTATGGGGTAGTGTAAAAGATTTATGTCCCTGTTCTCATGTTCACATAACCTGAACTTCCGGAACATGGGGAATAAAAAACTCGAACATGTTAATCAGAGATTGCACCACTTAATCCTACAAAGTATGGTTGCACTCTCATATATATGTGTCAGTTGTAAGTGTGTGTGGTTTTTGTTTTTTTTATGTGTGCAATTCCACTGTTATCTTTATCTTGTTGTACCAGCATATGTGGTTTATTGTGGGCACTGCCAACACCTGACACATCATTCCATATGCAATTTTCACATGTGTATGCATGAGGTGTTAGCTGCCCAGCTAGCTACTCATGTGTGCCCATCTAACCACTGCTGCACACAACTGATACGGCTAGTAAAGCTACATACGTGCAGTATAGTGAGGTGTGTGCATGTGTGAGCATAAAACAAGCTGCGGATCAACGACACTCTACAATCATTCCTATGGAACAAAAACTAAGGGAACATGGGAGAGGCCCTGGAGTTGGTGTAGCTATATGTATTGTAAAATCGTAGTGTTGCCATATTTCTACTGTTTTACCTTCTCTAAGAGAAGAATGATTGTCCACTTGTGGTGTAAGACCACAGATTATTTTCTCCACCGACATAATCTGCAGGTTTGGAATTGACTCTATCTGGTATTGCTCTGGAAGGGACACACGTTAAGACCACTGATATTGGTCAGAGCAGTGAGAGTGGTCTCGTCTGCTCATTTACGTCGTCTCAATACCTAAATAAATTCGGTTGGGATCACAAACTTACACTAAACCAAAGTGGAGACAGGGAATTGGGTAAAAAAGGATGGTCATCTGAAAGTGGACACCTGAATGGTCGTCAATGGTTGATACTCTTTAGAACACCAGGCAGCAGAGCCGTGGAAGGAATTTTTACTTGCAACACAAATGAAGGCTCTGTCTCTGTCAACATCTCTCACTCCAGTCAGTCTTAATCTGTAACTACATGCACGTCGAAAAATTGTGATGTCATCATGAAAAAGAAGGCGGACAAGAATATGCCTACACCCAGGCACTGCATAGTCACAAAGAACTAACCTTTCAGATAGGAACTAACTGGTTTACTCTCACATAGAGAATGCATGGAGGAGGATATGCTAATAAGCACAAAACCGGAAAATCTGACTCTTCACGTGCATTATACCCAACTATCTGTGTCATGCAAGAGTGCCAAACTTCATAGCCAGGCGTTCTCGGTTAGTTTTGAGGCATTTTGTGTGGATAATGAGTTTGACCTGTGGCATCCATACTATAGGGTGTCACCGATTATTAACCCTCGGCGCGCATGCGCAGCGAGGGTTGGTTTGTCTGTCTGTCTGTGTGTTTCGACACTTATTCTGGCACTACAGGCAACGAGGCGGCATATTAGCGATACCAGCGGCTTCATAAGTACGCGAGCCTGAAAAACAAAAGGACGATTTTCCTGAAACAACTGCGTTCGAGAGATATGCCGTAAAAACAAGCGAAAAAGCCGATTAGCACTGGGCTTATCGCGACCTCGTTCCTGTTTACCTTAGGGGCTCAGGAAGTCACAACGAATGGCATATATCGACTCCAGCATGCTACCTACTACTGTAGCTAGCCCGTGTCAAACACTCCGCGAGCTACTATATAGCGGGAGACTACGAGTAAACGCATACAAAAACCCCATCAAATAGAGTATAGCGCATGCGCAGTTCGCCGAGGGTTTGCACTTTATATAGTGCATTTCATTATGCCTGTTAGTATACAACAACGATTTATACAAACGTGTCTGTTTAGTCCTCAGTGTGGTAGTGACTTTCGAAGTAACAGACAAAAGAAATGGAGTTTTCAAAGTCAAATGTACTTCTACTGGCGGAGCAGTACTGACAATGTCCATCAGTGGGCCATTGGGTAGGCAGGAAGACTTGGATACCTCTGCAGTAGGCACACCTCAAAGGACATGGAATGACTCCTACTCTGCAGAGATCCTTCTTCAAGGTGGTAAAAAAAGCAACACATACATCCGTTTTTCTTCCAATATAGTGTCCAACTCATCTAGCAGTTCCTATCTGAAAGGTATTGGGTTATTTTTCTTATTACTCATGGTATAAGATCACCCATTTTCTCAGTGTCTTGAAACAAAGCAGGAATCAGCTACATCAGTGATAGTGGAGTGGAGTGAGCCATCAGGAGGGGCCACAGTGACTGGATATGTAGTACACTACAGCCATGGACTTTATAACATGACAGAGAATGCACCTGTATCCTCGTCACACCTTAGTGTATCCAACCTTTGTAGTGGTTTTATTGCTGTTAGTAAGTGGCTGTAATCTCTAATTACACATAACATTATATCTACTAGATGAAGACAACAGGAAACCTATTCGTGGCCACTCAAATTGTGAGGAAGACTTCATTAATGCCAGCTACATTGATGTCAGTGAATTGGTTCAATGTGTATAAGTCATCTTTTACACTGCCACATATAGCTAGGGGTACAAAAAGAATAGCAACACATTGCAACACAAGGTATTAATTACAACAACGCTAGGCATTCACTTGTGTTGGTTCACTACAGGGCCACTGCCTAACACAACTGTTGACTTCTGGAGGATGGTGTGGCAGGAAAGGTCTCAGAGCATTGTGATGGTCACCAATCTGGTGGAGGGAAATAGGATCAAGTGTCACAAGTACTGGCCAGAGACTGGGACCTTGTCCTTTGGTCCCTTCAATGTCACCATCACAGGACAACAGGTACTGGCTGACTACACTACTCGCCACTTTTCTGTTCAGGTATATGCTACTGAATATGGTCATGTACAGCTACCATCAGTCCTCCTACAATTACCATGTAACTCACAGAGAGCCCTGGAGATATTATAACTGTAACTCAGTTCCACTTCACAGAGTGGCCCGAGTATAGGGTGCCTTACTCCGCCACTTCACTACTAGTGTTCCTCAAGAAAGTGAAGAAACTTCATGAGTTATCAAAACGACCAATGGTTGTTCACTGCAGGTACCTAATGCAACGCATTTTTGGAAGCGTACAGTTCAATTTTTCTCGCGTGTTTTGGGCGCATATTTGGAATCATTACGGTGCAGTGTGGCAGTGCAGGTCAAAGAATAATTCCCACATAGGTAGGCTATAGCTTCACTCAAAACATGGTTAGAGAAGAAAATGTTTACATAGTGGAGGAAATGCTTACGTGATCCGTGAATATAATATGCTCATTGACTTTGAGACAATGTTAACGGAGTAAATGGAATAGGTGTGGGTTTTTTATATTCACAGTTCTGGTGTGGGGAGGACAGGGACTCTGATAACTATTGACTGTGTCCTTGAGCAGCTGCAAGATGAGGAGAAGGTGGTGGATATAGCTGGTGTCATCATCAACCTCCGCACACAGAGAATGAAACTTGTTGAAAGTCTGGTTCGTATATAGAGTGATTTCTTTTATCATCCAGTTAGCTACTTGTAAACACAATAGGAGCAGTATATCTTTGTCCACGGTGCAATCCTAGAAGATTTGTTATGTGGAGACACACAAATTGATGCTCGAATTTTCCACAAATCTATGAGGAAAATAATTAACAGTCCACAAACGTATGGACTGAATTTGAAAAACAGTTCAAGGTTAGTATAATTAAGTATGTCTTTTCATCAGAGACATGGGGAATTATTGTAATTTTGCAGGTTCTTGAAAAGGTATCCCCTAAACCAGCAGAGGTTTCAAGAATGGAAGCACTTCGAAATAGGAAAAAAAACTGCGATGATCGGTACCTTCCATGTTAGTTGACTCTTACAACATCGATGATAATGTATTAGTGTTCTCCTTCAGCTGACAGGTGGCGTGTGGCTTTGAGGGGAGGGAGTAATGACTACATTCATGCAGTTTTTGCTAGTGTATGTACAGCTTCATAGTGATCAGTGTCTCCATCAATATTTCTGTACTATTACAGGGTTACAAGCAAAAGAGAGCATTCATCATAGCTCAGAGTCCCATGGAGTCCACAGCCAGAGATTTCTGGAAGATGGTCCATGACAGGAAGTGTGGAGTCATTGTTATGCTCTGTGACTTGGTGGAAGATGGACAGGTAGCAACACGTTTCATTGTTATATTATAGCTGTGACACAAAAACCGCAGGAGATGTGTTGTCAGTATTGGCCTCAGCCTGGAATGGTTAAATTTGGAAAAGTATACAGTCGATTTGACAGAAGAACAGACAGTGATTGGATAAGCTATTCGTAAACTGAGTCTTTCAATTAATACTGAGGTAAGCATGTTAGTATAGAATTATTTAAATTTCTCCTTCATGCTTATAGCAGTCTGGAAGTGCTCATCAGATTGTACAGCTGCACATAACTAACTGGAGTCCTGATGGTAGATGTCATAACCTCAGCACTGTTACAAGTGTGATAAGTCAGATGACAAACATCCAGATCACAACTGGCAACAGTCCCACTGTAGTCCATTGCAGGTATAGTTGGCTAGCTATAGAGTAAGGAAGGATGACTCAAACCTATTACTTGCATTCGTTTGTTGGCGGGATTCTTACTTTTCCACAGCGACACAGTGGGTAGGTCTGGGATGTTCTGTGCCACAGTCACCACCATTGAGAGGTGTAAGAGAGAGGGAGTGGTGGATGTGTTCCAGGTGGTCAAGGCTCTCAGGGTACAGAAACCTGGAGCTGTCCCAACTGTGGTATATATGTCCTATGGTAAAAGTACAGTGACAGCCACAACCTGATGTCCTTCATTGCAGGCACACTATCATTTGCTGTTTGAAGCAGTGTTGGTGTATCTGGACTCTTTTGACACTTACAGCAATTTTCTTAGTGATAAGAACCCTTGAATTATAGCTATGAGTTAGTGATACCCACACACCTATGTATGAATTTGTGTATGGTATATATAGCACGGGTCATGTTTTATTAAACCAGGTCAATCTAGTTTTAATGTGCCTTTAGATTACTCTGAAAGATTCAGGACATAACAATTACTTTTCTCCCCGGCATCTAATTATTAATGCTGACTCACAAATACGTTTTTACCCTACCTGTCCCACCTCAAATACAGTGAAACCAAAGACAAATTGGTGCATGTATATTGACCCTAGCTTGCCAACTACTCAGAGGGTGTCAGTTGTTGGGGAGTTTGGTGGCTATTTTCTATGCACTCTAGGTAATACTGGAATCTTTTATTCACCCTTTTGCGTCCGCTTTAATTGTTCGTCCACGATCAACTACGGCATACAGTTGAGTCTCTGTGCCATTTATAAAACTAGCTATATATAACTATTAGGTTCGTCAATTGCAAGAATTATTGTTTTGAGTTTTGAAAATGCTCACAGATGTGTTTCATGTTCTGAGAAATACACAAGCAGCACATGCCTATCCCAGACATGTACTCTTTGATATTTTTGTGTGGATAATGACCAGTTCCTCCGTAGGGGGACAATTGCGTACCATTGACCATTGAGTATCAGGTTTGTAGACAGCTATTTTATGCATATAACATTATGTAAAGAGAGACAAAGTTGCTCTCTTAAACGAAATTACAGGTGAATTCATGTTACTAACGGATTGTATCATACACAGGCTCCTGTGTATGGGTAGGTGATGAATCTGTCTTTCTTGATGGTTTGTATCTCACACCCAGAGTTACACCATAGGCTGGATTATCCTCTGTGTACAATCTTGGCCTGGCTCTGCGATGTGATCTAAAATGATTATCAAACTCCCAAAAAATTACCTGAGGTTGTTACCTTTTGAACACAATGCAGGCAATAGAAATTCCAAAAGTAATGATTCCAATTAATGCTGCACCACTTCCAATACCAAATATAGCAGCAGTCTTGATTAAAGTCGGAACTGCAGATTAAAAACAGTGAGATGGAATTAGGCACGCAAGGCACTGCCACTCACATACAATGTAGCTACATAGGATATTGTTCTGTCATGTAAACTCACTGGGGTAATGGATCCCAATTGAGATATATTTGTCATTATTATTATTATTACGATCAGGATCACAGAAGAAATATCCCTCAACTGGAACATAGCTCACGTCTTTCAATAGTTTAAGTTGTTTATATGGAGGTGATGTTGTTTGCTCACCACTATACCACCCAAAATTCCTCCTGTCAGTTTTTGAGGGAATGCTATTCTCTCCATGAAATAGACGTTCATCAAACTACGTAGCTAGATTGGTGATTCTAGAAATTTTAAGAGAGGAAGGAATAACAGTCCTTCTTACTTGAATCAGCAGCTAGTGTAGCCACAGTAAGAGAGGAGGCATTTCCAGGTCCCACTCTGGTGTAGGCTCTCACAGAGAAGATGAATTCAGTGGCCTCCTCAAGGTTGCTCTCTGTGGTGAAATTAGTGGCCAGAGCAGAGGAGTTCACTCTAGTCTCAGGCTCTGAGGAAGCTGTTTGTCTGTAGGAAACCTCATATGCTATGATTATTCCATTAGGCATCAGTGGTGGCTCCCATGTCAGGGTTACTTGAGACAGAGAGGGAGATGCCGTGACTGCACCTACTGGACCTGGAACTAAAAAAACGAGTAAAGAAAACACTTGTTATTCACATGATTTATCTACCATCTTCCAAAGTTCTATTAGTGGTGGGGTAACTGTATGGTCCCACGTTTCCCATCTCATTCACTACAGCTACTGTAATGGAGTAGTTGGTGTATGGAGTGAGTCCAGTCAGCATTGCCTCAGTTGATGTTACAATTAATTCTCCAGTTTGGTTTATAACTTCAGAGACAGCACTGAACACTGCAGTGTACTTCACTGAGAATTTAACAGACAGATGACTGACTGGACTGCAGGCTCTCAGGTGGTCCCATTGGACTGAGATGACTGTTGAACTCACTGCTTCAGCTGTGACATTCACTGATAGTTCTGATGTACCTGAAACAGAAAACTACATAAAAATATTGGCAAAAACCATGGATTCACCTGAAAGTTCAACTGTTCTTGATAATCCAGAGATGTGCTCTGAAGCAGCTTCAACTGAAAATGTGTAGTCAGAACATCTAGTTAGGTTTGTGATACTGTGACTAGTGAAGGATGCAGGTACTCTCTCTGTCATGTTATTGACTCCATCACTGTAGTGTACTACATATCCAGTCACTGTGGCTCCTCCTGATGGCTGACTCCACTCCACTATCACTGACGTAGCTGATGTCTGTACCACTAACAGTAGATCTGGACACCCAGCAACTAAGAGACACTGTGTCATCCATTATTATCACTAAAATAACAGACATACCTTTCAATGAAACAACATCTGAAGCATTAAACACTCCATTGGATGCAAAACACACATACATATCTCCATGAGTTCCTTTTTCCAGTTAGCTTCAGCTGAAAAACTGTCATTACCCACTCCCTTAATGTCACTGACTTCAACAATGTTAGTCATGTTCTCCACAACACCAGATGGTCCAGTGATAGACATTGTCACTGGTCTACCACCAGTTGATTTACAAATCACTTTGAACATCTTACTACCTTTTTCCAACATTTGAATACTCCCACTAATGGAAGAGACTAAAAAACAGAGAATAACGTAAGTGCATAACTGCTGGCACGGATAGCTTGTAAGTTGTGCAAAATGCATTTTATGGCGAGCGAGAGGTCAACTGGTGTACAAGAAGATGTTTCACATGTGCATTGGATAAAAGACTATTTGGGTGCCATTGCAAGTACTAAAAAAATCCTGCGGATTAAAAAAAGAGTGCATATAGGGATGGTATAAAAAGAAAGGGAGACAAGATGGGATGGGTTTGTGTTGGAAGCACAGAGATGCTAGCGAGGAGTTAAGGACTCCCACAGGTCATACAACAGCCCTATATCGTCGTATCGGTGCTTGACCACGGAGTAAATCTTCCTCGCATAAGTATCAGCCACCCTGCATATTGAATTGGTTTTCTCGTATTATACGTATGTTTCCATGTAGATGTTATCATGTACATTGTTTGGTCAGCTGATTATACGACAGTACACATACTGCTCGCACCTTGATGGCATACACTCCATGGGATGTAGCATGACAGATCGATGAAATGTACACAACGATCATTATTAAGTAGTACAGCACTTAGCAATACTCTTTCATAACCTTCACTCCCACCGTACGGCAATATAGGGCTGTTGTAATGACCTGTGGGAGTCCTTAACTCCTCGCTAGCATCTCTGTGCTTCCACAAAAACCATCCCTATCTTGTCTCCCTTTCTTTTTATACCATCCCTATATGCACTCTTTTTTTAATCCGCAGGATTTTTTATTTACTTGTCTCCACTCATTTTTATATACTACTACGTATTATCCCTGTGGAAGGGGCAAGCCCCTATAAAAATTAATAATAGAGAAATAAATTAAAAGCACTAAAGTGCAAACCCTCGGCGAACTGCGCATGTGCGGTACCACTAATTGATGGGCTGGGCTTTTTATGCCTTTACTCGTGGTATCCCGCTAGTAGCTCGCGGAGAGTCTGACACGGGCTAGCTACAGTAGTAAATAGCATGCGGGAGCGATACATGCCCTTCGTTGTGACTTGTTGTGCCTTCAAGACACACAGAGCGAACGGACGCGGTCGGGGTAAGCCTGTGCTAATTTACATATTGGCTTGTTCACTTGGTTTTCACGCCATAACTTTAAAATACAGTAGTTTTACGAATTTTAAAATCAACCCAGTGTAGCACTGAACCCGATCATATCGCTATTTACCTGATTTCGTGCGCGCGGTGGCAGAAAACGTGGTAAGAGACAGACAGACTGACAGACAGACACGCTTACGGGACAACTACCGTAACCCTCGCTGCGCATGCGCGCCGAGGGTTAATGAAAAGCACTGAAGTGCAAACCCTCGGCGCACTGTGACGCGCACGCGTAAGTAAACGCATGCGCCGTACCACTAATTGATGGGCTGGGTTTAGTTTTAGCGGGCTCGTGGTCTCTTCCCAGCTCGCGCATAGTCTGACGCGGGCTAACCACACTATTAGATAGCATGCGAGAGGCGATACACGCCCTGCGTTGCATCTTCTGGTGCATCCGAGGTACGCAGAGCACGCGGATCTATCAGACCGCGGTAAGCCGTCCCGTCCGTTGAGTATTTGCATATTGGCTTTTTCGCGCTCTAGCTTTGCAATGGAGCAGTTTCAGAGAAAATTGTTCGAAATTTCTGACCTTCATTGCCCGTTCAGTAGGTGGTATCCTTTGTGAGACGAAAGAACATTCGAGAAGTGAGATGAAAAGTAACAGACAGACAGACTGACAGACAGACTGACTGACAGACTGACTGACAGACAAACCCAACTACTGTAACCCTCGCTGCGCATGCGCGCCGAGAGTTAAAAAATGCCTGTTGTTGTCATGGAAATGATATGCATACCATGTTTCATCTCCATTTGTGCTGCCGTTAGCAAGTTTGAGGAGTGAAGAAGTTGTTTTAAAGAAAGTGCCTGAGGCTATTTGTTGTTGTGGGCGTCATAGAAACGATGTAATACACATGCACATCAAGTTTCACCTCCATGCATGCTACAGTTAGCAAGTTTGAGGAGTGAAGAAGTAATTTTAAATAAAGGTGCCTGGTGCTATTTGTTGTTGTAGTTGTCATGGAAACGATGTAATACACATGCGCACTAAGTTTCACCTCAATGCGTGCTATAGTTAGCAGGTTTGAGGAGTGAAGAAGTAATTTTAAAGAAAAGTGCCTGATGCTATTTGTTGTTGTGGTCGTCATGGAAACGATGTTACACACATGCGTACCAAGTTTCATCTCCATGCGTGGTACCATTAGCGAGTTTGAGGAGTGAAGAGGTAATTTTAAAGAAAACCAATTGCGAGTTACACTGACACATGTAGTATGCCCATTATGACGTATTGCCCATTATAATGTATTGCCTGGGGCAATTTTGTTGTTGTTGTTTACAAACAAAAAAGTATGATGTTGCACATGTGGTTATCGATATGTACATTCCTACAAAATTTCATGGCTTTATCCCTTTCGGTCAATCCCTATATCAGAGAGTCGGTAGACTCTCTATATAGGGACGACACGGGTGAAATCTCACGTGATCCGTGTACAAAACGACTAAAAACTCGGTGAGAATCACTCCCATGGCCTTCAAAACATACTAGCAATAGTCTACGGGCCCATATCTACCTATAAATGTCCCCCAAGAGCTCATACGCACCTTCAGTCGTCCACGCGAGAATTCGCTCCTTTACGCGATTTCACGATTTTCGTGTCATCATCTTCTTCATCATCTTCTTCTTCTTCTTCTTCTTTAAACCCGCTATCTCCTTACCAGTACCAGTTCAAGCACTGATTTTTTCACTGAAGGTCTCCAATTTCGCCGGAGGTGTGCACGGACATCAAGCGATCGTTTCTTTCTTGCCGCTAGTCACTACGGTAGATCATGGAGCTCTTCCATGGTCGACCTGAACAACGGCATTTGCTGCTTACTCAGCATCAGTGAGCCGCGCGCATGCGCCAGGCAGGGGTGTTGTCCAATGTGATTGCTAGCGTATTACCAGGCGAGCGAGTTGGCAGACCTGCGGAGGAACTCTCAGCCTCCAGTACATTCTGTAAGTAAGTGTGCACATTTCCAACTGCCTATCTTGCTGTTGATTTGCACGAAGAGCAACTTGCCAGAGTCTGCGCGGTGTTACGCGAGCCTTGCGGGGGCACTCAGTCAAATGGGCCTTCATTGTTTGCCAATGAAACCACAACCATAATTACATCCTTGTTGAAGACAATACATGATGTGAATGCGGTATCTAGCCCTTGCTAGCAGCCCCATTTGCTACTACTTTCAACAGTTACAATTTGTCTATGGTAGCCTATCACCAACATACCCATGAACATCGGAGTGACTGTAACAATAAATGCAGTGTTGCCATATGCTGTTAAAAATAGTGGAAACAAGTGGAAAAATCATTTCTTCAAAATGAAAGGGGGATATAGGGATGGCTTGAAGCACCAAAAAGGAAGAAACAAGGGGTCATTACACACCAAAAATGCACAAAGCCACATGACACCATCCCTATATCTTTGTTTTATTGTTCATAAGCAAAGTTTAATATGAGACAAAGACATTAAAATCAAGCTCAGTGGCAGACCCAGACGTGGTAAGGTTTTAGAAAAGTGCCTTTTGTTTAAATTATTGCATTAAAGCTCAGCACAACTCAGTGTGCAGTACAAAAAGGGTGGCCTACTAAGAGGTGATGACCATTGGCTTGTCTACATAGGTTGTTCAGTTCTGTATATACCAGCCATTAATGGTTGGCAGCACTGCACACATGCGTTTGTCAGTAATGGCTACCTAGCCATCTGAATTGCATGATTAAACCATCATAGGATGTTGTCCTCAATACTGAAAGTTCACACTTGGGTTTCTTCACTTAAAATGCATTGCGTTTTCGTTACAATCGTTAGAATACAAACCCCATCAGCAATGCACACAGTGTCCAGGATTTTACGTGAGTTCTGCCAGTCTTGACAACATAGCATTTGCATGCATGCTCAATAGTGAGATGGAATTAGGCGTGCAAGGCACTGCCACTCACATACAATGTAGCTACATACGTAGGATATTGTTCTGTCATTAGAGGCTGGCGCCCAATATGCTGGCATAATTTTTGGAATAATAGGGGCTGCCCAGAAAAAGCATAATTCTTGGAATAATAGGTCGGAATTGCAATGTGTAGGCGTTTGCGCGATCTTCTGCCGGAGCTTCTGCCCTTCCGCGGTTTTGCGTAAAGATGGAGAACTTACCCTGGATATCTTCACTGCAAAATGAGAGAAAATGAAGCGCATCACTCCACGGGAAGGCTAGAGACAGCGAAACCGCGCGAACAAAAGTGCAGACTCGGCAATTTTCCTCGTTCTACACGCCCCCCTTTTTACGCAAGGGTTTAGTGCATGCCAGCTCGAAGGGAATAATAGGGGCAGCGAGGAGGAATAATAGGAAAGATTTACGAGAATTGCGGAATAGAATAATGGGTAGAAAAGTTAGCATAATGGGCTCAACCCTATCTGTCATGTAAACTCACTGGGGTAATGGATCCCAATTGAGATATATTTGTCATTATTATTATTATTACGATCAGGATCACAGAAGAAATATCCCTCAACTGGAACATAGCTCACGTCTTTCAATAGTTTAAGTTGTTTATATGGAGGTGATGTTGTTTGCTCACCACTATACCACCCAAAATTCCTACTGTCAGTTTTTGAGGGAATGCTATCCTCTCCACGAAATCGACGGTCGTCAAACTGATGATACCAATTCATGCTACTCGGAGCTGTAGCACCACGATACCAACAGATGACCTGGTTAATATCGGTGATGATAATATGTTCAGCTTGAATAACAGCATCTTTTTCATCAGATGATGTCAGAAACAGTTCTGCATAATTACCAAAAGTCATTGCATTATAAGACTGCAAACCAATATTTATATAGAATGCAGTTGTGCGTGTTTTAGCCAGTGGTATTGCTCTTACATAATTGTCCCTGGTGTGCAATTGGACATGAGCTCTCCAGATCTCTGGATTGCATGACTGTCATGAATCATTTAATTGATGTCAATTTTTTGTGCTTCTGACTAACTTGCACAATTTATCACTACCAAGCTTCTTGAGCTCTAAGATTATTGCTAGGCTTGCCTCAGTGTGTAACGTAAGACAATCCTGAATGTTATCTTGATGTAATTTTTTCACAAAAAATTCATTCCTGTCCATTTTCTTTACCGTTATTAATAATAATAATAAGAAGATGAAGAAGAAGAATTATTATTACAAGAAAGAGAAAAAATTCCAGCGTCATGAATGTGTTTATAGCAACCCTGAAATATGGTTTCCAGCCAGAAGCAGTTTGCTTCTTTCAAGACAAAGTAGGAACTATGATAATGTGCTGACACATGATCAGGGGTTCTGAAAACAAAACCTAATTGTCGCAAACATGTGTAGTCATTGATAATGTGTGTAGCTATGAACCTGTTACAAACCTGAGCATAATGGGGCTAAGCATATTCTACAGAATACAATATTGCCAGCTGAACAGCTCCACAGCGTAAAACGAGAAGGCCTAAAGTTCCAGGACAAGTTTCGGTCTTCTTGGCAAGTTCCGGTCTTCTATACACGCTCTCTGAGTGCGTGAGCCCTGGCGCAGATATACACGTATAATGTAGCTAAGTTTCCCATCTTTTTTAAAATAACCATGCGGCTTTGTGTAGCTAGGCTATGTGCACTCGGCTCAAAGAGTATATATCCCATTTCCCCTCCTGTCGGTTAGACTTTGCAGCAACATAGCTAGTAGACAACACGAGGATTGCTTACCTTCAGTTTCACTTGCGTAGGTCAATACTGAACACCATAACAGGGCACAAACGCTCAGTACAACAGCAAGCATCCTTGTGGTATTAACAGGAAGGCAAGCGAAACAACGGAGTGTTATCAGAGCCTGACCCAACCACGCGTCAGCATCGTTTGCCATTTCATGGCATTCTGAGCTATAGCACCACGATACCAACAGATGACCTGGTTAATATCGGTGATGATAATATAAAATATGTTCAGCTTCAATAATAGCATATTTTTCATCAGACGATGTCAGAAACAGTTCTGCATAATTACCAAAAGTCTGCAAACCATATAATGCAGCTGTGTTTGTGTTATAGCCAGTGGTATTGCCTACATAAATGTCCCTGGCGTGCAATGGGATATGAGCTCTCCAGATCTGACTGTCATGAATCATTAGGGACCTGATTATTAAAAATAGTGTAGACCCGGAACTTCTGACTAACTTGCACATCGATAACTACAATGAAGTAAAGCCTCGGCGCACTGTGACGCGTGCGCGTAAGTAAACGCATGTGCCGTACACTAATGATGGGCTGGGTTAGTTTTAGCTTACTCGTGGTCTCTTGCCAGCTCGCGCAGAGTCTGACGCGGGCTAAACTGCACTACTAGATAGACATGCGAGAGGCGATACACGCCCTGCGTTGCATCTCTGGTGCCTCCGAGGTACGCAGAGCACGCGGATCGATACATGGCCGTTGTGTATTGCAATATTGGCTTTTCCCGCTCTAGCTAGCAAACGGAGCGTTTTCAGAGAAAAACCCCTTTATTTTCTGACTTCGTCGCCCGTGGGTAGATGGTATCGTTTCTGGAACGAACAGACGTTCGAGATAGTGATGTAGAGTAACAGACAGACACACACACACGACAGACCCAATGAAAAGCAATAAAGTGTAAACCTCGGCGAAGTAGTCGCAGAGAGTCTGACAGGGGCTAGCTACAGTAGTAGATAGCACCGAGAGTCGATACACGCCATTCGTTGTGACTTCTTGTGCCTTCAAGATAGACAGAGCAAGGGACCCCGTCGTGCTAAATATAAGCGCATGCGCATTATCCACCAGCAATAAAATGGCGACTACCGGAAGCGCTCTAGCTTTGACGAGCATTTTCAGAGAAAAACCCTACATATATTATGACACTTCGTCGCCCGTTGGGTAGATGGTATCGTTTCTGGGAACGAACATACGTTTCGAGAGGTGAGATATGGAGTAACAGAAGGAAATCTCACCAACACATGAGACTATTTTTGATTCCAAAATGACAAACCCAGTTTGAAATCACCTCTATGACACTATAACCTAATTACCTCTCTAACTAGTCAGTAATTGTCTCTCTGGGCAGCTATACTGCCCCTTCATGCCATTAGATACTGCATATGGTATTTCAGCGTCCCTTCCTCCCTAACTCATCATGCCAGATTTTAATGTGCAGGCAGTTGTCAACAACTTGAATCAGTTTATAGTCAACTCCTTTACATCTATGCAAATCAGAGTGACCATAGTAAGTAATTGTTCATAAAAAATAATGGAAACAAGTACAAATATTATTTCTTCAAAATGAAGGGGGATATAGGGATGGCCTAAACATGAAAAAGGAAGAACACAAGGGGTCATTACACAGCTAGGCACACAAAGCTACATGACACCATCCCTATAACTTTGTTCTATACTGATTCATTCCCATATGTTTGTTCTATTGATTCATAGGCAAAAAATATCAGTTTATGTCCCATTTATGACCAAACCCCCGTCGGTTAGACTTTGCAGCAATAGACACGAGGATTGCCTACCTTCAGTTTCACTTGCGTAGGTCAATACTGAACACCATAACAGGGCAAAAACACTCAGTACAAGAGCAAGCATCCTTGTGGTATTAACAGGAGGCATGCGCAAGCGGGGTATTACAGAGCCTGACGCTACCACGCCTCAGCACCGTTTGACAGGAAGCCAAGCCGGATGTGATGTGAACGCGCTATTATTGCCAAGGCGCGCTCGGTCACGCTGCGTACGTGCGCGGGAGGATGGACAAGGGCACTAATAAAGGACAGACACAGACTCACCAAGTACAAAGAAAAAAGACAAGTAAGAACCGACATACTAAGGATAAAGAACAAAAAAGAGGGGAAAATGCACAAAAAAACAAAACAAAACTACACAAACAAGCAAGACCCATTACACCATCTAAAGAGGGAGCGAGTTGTGGACAACGGTGATTCTAGGCAGATGCATTTCCCCTCCAGAGAGATATTGCGAGCCTTTGGTAGAGATGACAAGTCGATTCAACTGGAGAGATCCCCAAACGCTGGCCCAAAAGACGGCCTAGGCTGGAGATCGTGTCAGCAACCATGTCACACCTAGGGACTCTATGGCGAGGGGGATGAAACAGGTAGAGCACCGTGGGAAGCAAACTTTCTCTCCTCGGCAACCAAGACGGCGTGGTCCAGATTTGCTGCAGCACCCCGAACGATTGATTTCTGCAATGTGGAGATGACAGTGACATCCAAAGCAGCTGGGCGGCCCCTTATCCAGCAGGTGAGGTAGATGTCAGCAGGTTGGCTCTGGTTGCGGGGGACTAGAGAGGGGACTTCCCTTCGGGTCACCAAGGCAGCTGACTGAGCTGCTGAAAAAACAGCACCCCGAAGGGAATTATGTCGGAGGATTCCATCACAGTTTCCTCCACGACCCACTTGATGGTCCCCAAAGTGGTCGGCCACGGCATGACAAAACGGGGCACCTTAGACCCTCCTCGAACATCTGGAGACCCAACCAGTACTGCAGGCAGAACCGGAATTCCCGATCGAAAAGGTGGAGGCCCAGGGCTGAGGATGGGACGACATTATAACCAGTCACACCTGCATGACGAAGAGCGGATGAAAGGGCCAGAGCTTTGGAGCGAACGTTGGGAGCTGAATCCAACAAGGCATCAAAAGATGCCTCGTCAATAGCTCGACAGACTTAATGGCGTCAGGGAGGTGGACAGGTGGCTTGGCGGTGTACCCAGGATCCTTGATATTAGGGGTCTGCATCGAAGAAAGGAAGCAATATAGGCGGCAGAGGTACGCAAGGAGGCTTGACGAACATTTCAGCCCACCGAGCGACGAAGGGAGAGAGGCTTTTGCCAAGGACCAATCGGGTAGTGGGCCCCCGGCGAGATCAGAGAGGGCATCTCGCATAATGCGGTCGAATATGCCAGCGAAGGCCCAGGCGTTTTGGTCTGGCGTGGAGACCGGCACACATTGTCGTAGATGCTGCAGCCTCACCTCCCTCTTCTCCTCATCCATGACTCTGAGCGAGGCTCTGCTGAGTACGCTGACGACCCGCGACGCTTCACGTCCCCGCGTGCATGCGTACGTATAATACGAACGCGGCCTCGCCCACCGAGCGCGCCTCGCGCTAAGGCGTTCAGCAATAACACATCACATCCGGCATGGCTTCCTGCCAAACGATGCTATGGCGCGGTTGGGTCAGGCTCTGATAACACTCCGTTGTTTCGCTTGCCTTCCTGTTAATACCACAAGGATGCTTGCTGTTGTACTGAGCGTTTGTGCCCTGTTATGGTGTTCAGTATTGACCTACGCAAGTCAAACTTAGAGTACGACGCATACGCGCACACAACGCAGATGCGTTCCTCTGGACGTGCGGAGGGGCTGCTCTCGCGAAGCTGGCCGACACCAATCACTCGGGAAGGGGGGAGCCACGCGTGTACGCGAGATCGACAGTAAAGTACAGCTGGTTCGTGTCTGCCGAATGGCGGAAGGAGGAATATGGCGAAAGACAGTTGCGAACTTCGAAGCGCTGCAAGCAAGCAACTACCTGTTCACTCCACTCAGATTGCAAAGCCGAGGTTTACTATTTCCCGTAGTAAACCTCAACGGGGTTTACTACATGTGGTAAACCTACAGATAAAACCGGAAAACATTTAAAAAAATGTACATGTAAACAACAAGATCAACAAACCGAATCTACATTGACGCGTCGTCCACGCACACGCGCAGACCATGGGCGCAGGGAAATAAGGCGGAGTCATTACCGCGCGTCTTTTCTGCCGCTTCGCCCTTGCGCTGCATTTTCTGGCGCTCTGAGCCAGTCTCCATCGAGTCATCGTTAGAAGCGCTCCGCCATACGAACGAACAGGAAAGCCCGAGCGCCCAACGTGAAGCGCTCACACTAAAATAGTTAGACGCTGCTTCCTCCGTAACTACACGCGCGCCAGTAGAAAGCCACGTGCCCCGGGGGTAGCGCCCTCGCTGCGGTCGGGGCGCCACAATGCCGGGGCTCTCGAATAAGCGTCTAACTATGATATAGTTCATAGAAATATACCCATTGAACGCGCTATGTCGTTTGGCGTCAACCTTGTCCTATCTTGCAAGGCCAAAGGTTGGCAGGTAGCTATGTAATAGCCTCTGATTAACGCGGTGTAGCTGTTCAGCTTACCATAGTAATTTGTAAAGTATTCTTAGAACCCTATTAGCTCGGGCTTGTGTGGTTCTTAGCTATACACATATTACCAATGACTACACATATTTGCCGTTTTGTTTTCGGAACCCCCGACCCATGCATGAGTCAGCACATTCTCTTCTGGTTGAAAATATTATGGCATTTCAGAGTTGCTAACACATGATGCTGGAATTATTGTGATGGATATCATTTCGGATATAATATAGTCTTATGTTATATCAATACTCAAGAAGCTTTATTGTAAATTGTGCAAGTTATAATCAGAAGTTCAAAAAGTAATATCAATTCAGTCCCTAATGATTCGTGACAGTCAGGCAATCCAGATCTGGAGAGCTCATGTCCCATTGCACACCAGGGGCAAATATGAAGGCAATGCCACTGGGCTATAACACGCACAGCTGCATTTTTGCGGTCTTGTAATGCAATGACTTTCAATAATTATGCAGATCTGTTTCTGACATTATCTGATGAAAATGATGCTATTTTCCAAGCTGAACATATTATCATCACTGATATTAACCAGGTCGTCTGTTGGCATCATGGTGCTTCAAATACCTTAAATTGGTATCATCAGTTTAATGACCGTCGATTAAAGAGACAGTATAAAATTCCCAAAGATGATGACAGAAGGTATTTTGGATGGTATAGTGAGCAGACTAGTTCATCATCATCTCTACATCAACAACTTAAACTATTGAAAGACGTGAGCTATGTTCCAGTTGAGGGATATTTCTTCTGTGATCCTGATCGTAATAATGATAATGACAAATATATCTCAATTGGGATCCATTACCCCAGTGAGTTTGCATGACAGAACAATATCCTATGTATAATTATTATTATAGGCTACATTGTATGAGAGTGGCAGTGCCTTGCGTGCCTAATTCCATCTCACCATTTAGCATGCAAATGCTATGTTGTCAAGGCTGGCAGGATTTGAACCCCTGCAAAATTCTGGACACTGCATGCCTCGATTTCTTTTGTATATACTGCAAAGAGAACGAATGCATAACATTTTAGTGAAGGAACCCAAGTGTGAACTTTTGGTTGATTTACGGGTATTTAGAAGGATGAGGAGAACATCCTACGATGGTAAAATCACGTGATTCAGATGCTAGATAACACAAATGTGTGCAGTGCTGCCAACTATGAATGGATTTTCTATGCCCGGGTACAGAACTGGACAACCTATTTACAACAAGCCGAGAGGGTTGCATGAATCATCACCTCTTAGCAACTGACAGATAGGCCTGGCTTCTCTTTGTACTGCAAACCAAGTTGTGCTGAGTTTTAATGCATGCACACTTAGACTTAGTATGTATGTAAGATAGTTGACTTAATACTGATTATCTTGGTATCTCTGTGCATACCAAAGAAACACATTGGCAAGCACAGTCTCTGTGCAAATACCAAAGAAACACATTGGCAGCCACAGAACGTGGCACTAAAACAAAGTCACTCTAATGAAAGGCTTTGGTGTTTGTCAATTTCCTGGCATATTTTCCTTCTTCTATATAATTATGTCATAAAGTGAGGTTTCAGATTAAGCATGGTGGACAGACAGACAGACAGTACTGTAATTACCCATTTAGCGAGGGATTGGACAAAGATGTGTGAATGGTGGCAGTTGCTATTTAAACCACCCGTTGTTTATGGTGGTTTATGTGCATTTTCACAGGGGGTACAGAACACTTAAATTGAGACCAACTCATGAAAAGCAAAAGTGCAACCCCTAGGCGCTAAACGCGTGTGGTTGTAGCGTTGCTGTATGCTGGCCATGCGTCATCGACGGAGCCACTCGCCGTAACACAGGGTAGTTGCATTAGCGGTTAGAGCAATTGCTCAGGTGTTTCAGAAGCTCTCATATTTGTTTTATTCAATCTATCCACACTGCTCGCCTCACCTGAACTATTATGCTACATTGCGGACATAGCTACCTTGCTCAGCATGTTTATCCATTGAGAACAGAGATCAAAACTGACAGAAGCCTGTGGATCGTACAACCACGTGGCGCAGCGAATGCTCCGGCGAAAAATTGACATGACGTGTGCGCGCTATAGAGAGGGCGCGTGCACGATCGACCACACGTTGGCTGTTTTCACGCCATATCTCTGGAACGCAGTCGTTTCAGGAAAATCGCCACATAACACACCGGTTCACAACCGGTTGGTGCCACTCATTGGCCGCCTCGTAGCCTGTAGTGCGAGAACTCGCGTGGACAAACAGACAGACCAAGTACCGTAACCCTCGCAGCGCATGCGCAGCGAAAGTTAATAACCCAAGTAATTTTTCATAGATAGGCCCAATTCACTATTTGTAGTCGTACTAGTGCGCCACCTACTTGTCTAAATAGTAGTTGCAATGGCACCGTTTTATCCAATGCACATGTGAAGCATATTCTTGTACACCAGTTGACCCCTCACTTGCCCAAAAAATGCTTTCTGCATAACTATCTGTTCCAGCACTTATGGGCTTACATTATTCTCTGGTTTTTTAGTCTCTTCTATTAGTGGGAGTATTCAAATGTTGGAAAAAGGTAGTAAGATGTTCAGAGTGATTTGTACTTCAACTGGTGGTAGACCACTGACATTGTCTATCACTGGACCATCTGGTGTTGTGGAGACTAAAATTGTCAATGTCAGTGACATAAAGGGAGTGGGTAATGACAGTTTTTCAGCTGAAGGAAACTGGAAAAAAGGAGCGCATGAAGATATGTATGTGTGTTTTGCATCTAACGGAGTGTCTAATGCTTCAGAAGTTATTTCATTGAAAGGTACGTCTGTTATGTTAGTGATAATAATGGGTGACACAGTGTGATCTCTCAGTTGCTGGGAGTCCAACTCTACTGTTAGTAGTACAGACATCAGCTACATCAGTGATAGTGGAGTGGAGTCAGCCATCAGGAGCAGCCACAGTGACTGGATATGTAGTACACTATAGTGACGGAGTTGTTAACAATGCCAGGAGTGTACCTGATCCAACCTCCACTAGTCACAATATCAGAAACCTAACTTGGGTGTTCTAACTACACATTTTCAGTTGAAGCTGCTTCAGAGCACATCTCTGGAATATCAGAAACATTTGCACTCGAATTAGGTGAATTCATGCTTATTGCTAATACTTTTTATGTGTTTGTTTTTTGATTCAGGTGAATCAGACCTATCAGTAAATGTCACAGCTGAAGCAGTTAGTTCAACAGTCATCTCAGTCCAATGGGACCACCTGAGAGCC